AGGCTATATGCAAATACTCTGCCATCTTACTGAAGGGGTTGAGCACCCTCAGATTTTGGTGTTCATGTGGACACTGGATTCAATCCCATAGCTACTGAGAAGTGACTGTAGTGACAAGGAGCCTTCAGAGCCACCTCCAGTCCTCCTGATGACTTTTCAGGTCCCCACTGCTGCCTCCCTGAAATTCTACCTGTCCTCCCTTGAAGTCCTGGACCCTCTGGCCATGAAACCGCCTTTGTGCTGGAGCCGGTTGGAGGAGGTTTCTCTTCCTTGCAGTGAACAGCAACAACCAAACCTACAACAAGGCAAGGTGACTCCTGTGATGAGGAGCATTGAACCCAGCCGTGGCTGGGGGTCACCTGCACCCAGCCCCTAGAAAGGTGCCCCTTCTTATGCTGGGGGCACCGAGGTCCTGGTCCCCTGTGTGGGTATGCTGGGACAAGTGGACAAGGCCTCTGTGGGACCCAGCTTAATGGGCAAGGAAACACCGGATGAAGAAGCTGCGGGAGACGTTGAGCCTCACAAAGGTGCTGAAGAGTGGGCCAACGAACATGTGGATAAACAAGTGCCTGAGTTCACCGTCACCAGTGGCTGGGCCCAGGACACACACCAACCTCCCGTGGGGTGAAGCTGCCCCCAGGGCGACGGCCTTCGTCAACATTCTGCAGGTCCATTTAGCTTCTCTTTGTGCGGCCTCTTCACTTCTGAACACAGGAGCCCTTGTGAGCAAAAGGCCACCAATGTGTGTGCCACCCAAGCCCAGGGGTGGGAATCTGAGCTCTGTTGAGTGCTCACACAGGAGAGCAGAGCGCGGACACAATTCGGGTCTGGTCAGAGCACCATCCCCTCCGCGTGTGATTAGCACATACTCGGTTTTTGCCTGGGGTGGGGTGAGAGTCAAGGAACTACTAATGATAGTTGCTTATTACATATAAATTTTAATTATTAATTATACTCTAATAGTCATTGATAAAATCATTAATAAGCCTTCAAAAGAAAAAGTGAGGTCTCTGGGTCCCAGGGCAGTGTGGCCCAGGGCCCAGCAGGATGGAGAGGATGGGTGGGAGTGCCTGGTGGACAGAAAGAAGCCCAGGCTGCCTATTGGGCAGTAACAGGGCATGAGAAAGATGGTTCCAGGGTACAGGATGGCACAGAGGGCTGCAGATGTGTCCTGAGGGTGGGCAGAGCCTTGAAGCACCATCTCCTGGGCTGCTTCTGAACTAGATGGGTGAACTAGATGGGTAGGGCCCAAGGCTCATGCTATTGTCCTGTACCTGCTGTCCTCATCTGTTTTCTGTTGCTATAACAGAGTACTTGAGACTGGGTGATTTATAGAGAACAGGAGTTTTCCTGGCTCACAGCTGGAGGCTGGGAGCAGCCTTCTTGCTGCATCATGACTGGCAGAGGGCATCGCATGGTGAGACAGCCAGGGTGCCAGCTCAGGTCTGTTCTTCTTATAAAGCCACTAGACGAGGAGGCAGGGAGACCATTTACCAAGAGGCTAGTTAGGGGTGGGGACAGTCATCATGGGGAATGTTTTGCTACTTTTTGAACCCAAGCTTTCTCACTCTGTGGGGGCACCGCTCCTCAGGAATCCTGGTGGAGCAGAGGTCAGGATGAGCTACCCAATCTGCAGAACAAGTCATACAGACGGCAATTGTGGCTCCATGCAAACTGGAAATGCAGAACCCCTTGATCAGAAATGATGACGGATTGCAAGATGGTGACAAAAGAACAGGAAGGCCAATATGCAGCTGCCGGGGTCACATGTCCTCCTGAGAAGGGTACTCGGTTTCCCAGCACCACTTGCAGCTCAGAAAGCGCATGGATGGCATTTAATAGTTGATCTCTAAAACCATGGAATTGGGGAGGACGCCTAAGGACAAAGGGCAACAGAGGAGAGTCCCCAACACGGAGCCTCGGTGTGAGAGAATTCAAAGGTCAAGGGGGAAGAAGAATCGGGGAAACCACGGAGCCAGAGCTGTGGAAGTCAGGAGAGGAAAGTGTTTTTCAAGATTGAGGAACTGCTGGGGACTCGGAGTACCTCTGCTGAGAGGCTGAGGGGCCAACCATGGGGAAGGGGTGGCAGGGGGGTGGCCAGCTCCCTGGGTCTGTGCTTCTGGTTTTCCAGTGTTTGTATTAATGCGTTACAGTTATACGGGCGAATGGGCTTCGTTTTGACGTACTCACACCCGCGTGGCATGGAACTCGCTCCACTTCAGTCCCCGGTGCTTCCTCTTTCCCTCCCGGAGTCTCCTCCTGCGGCTCTCCTGGGCCTCCATCTATTTATTTCCGGTGCTTTACAGATACACGTAAAGGCCAAGTTCTCCACATGTGGTCAGTTTCACTCCACCGTCTCTCCCTTTTTCCATCCCTCTGTCCCCACTCCTCAGTCCCTGTCCTCTGCTCCACTGAGCTTTTTTGGCGGGATTATTTCTTCGTTTTAATGTGCACGAAATCACCTAAGGGTCTTACAGAACCGCAGGTCTGATTCCTCAGGTTCAGGGTGGAGCCTGAGAGTGACATTTTCTAACAGGCTCCCAGGTTTTACTGAGGCTGCTGGTCCTCGGACCACACTTTGAGTAGCAGCCTCTAGCGCAGTGGTTTTCAGATCTGGCTGCATCGTAGAAACATCCAACAAGCTCAGCCAACATGGCCCATACCCCAGACTAATTAAATCAGAACCTCCAGCGGGTAGGGCCAAAGTCCTTGACATTTTTTAAGTTCTAAGGTGATGGAATATGTAGCCAGGGTCAAGGAATAGTCTTACGGAGTTCATAGCATATATCAGCTTCATTTGTTACTGTAAATAGTTCTTCTTTTAAAATCTTTACATGCATATTATTATTATATATTTGTATTATGTGTTATTATTGTTATCATTATCATAATTTAGAACATAATTATTCTTAGAGTTTACTGCAATGCACTGAGCTAGGCACTTTACATTCATTATCATCATTACCGGTATTGTTTTGTTTTGTTTCTGATACCAGGGATTGAACCCAGGGCTGCTTAACCACTGAGCCACATCTCCAGCCCTTTTAAATCTTTTATTTAGGAACAAGCTGTCACTGAGTTGCTTAGGACCTCCCTAAATTGCTGAAGCTGACCTTGAACTCACAATCCTCCTGCCTTGGCTTCCTGAGCTGCTGGGATTATAGGTGTGGACCACCGCGCCTGGCTGTGATTGCTATTTTTAAAGTAGGAAGAGCTACCAGAAGGGAGAAGGATGAATCGGTGGCGCACAGAGGATTTGCAGGGCCCTGAATCCATTCCCTATGACCCTGCAATGTTGGAAAAGGTCATTATACATGTGTCTAACCCTGTCGGATACACACCAAGAATGAACCCTAAGGTACACTATGGACTTTGGGTGATAAATATGAATCAATGTAGGTTCATCAATTGTAACAAATGTACTGCTCTTTGGGGGAATGTGGACAATCGAGGAGGCTGGGCAGGGTGCAGGGAGGAGATGGGAAATCTCACTACCTTCTCATCAAGACTACTGTGAACCTAAAATTACCTGATAAAGATAGAACCTTTTTTAAAATATTTTTTTTTAGTTGTCAATGGACCTTTATTTTACTTAGTTATATGAGATGCTGAGAATTGAACCCAGTGCCTCACACATGCTAGGCAAGCGCTCTACCACTGAGCCACAACCCCAGCGCTAGAAACTTTAAAAAAAAAGAAGAAGAAGAAGAGCTGGGGTTGTGGCTCAGTGATAGAGCGCTTGCCTAGCATGTGTGAGGCACTGGTTTCGATTCTCAGCACCACATATAAACAAATAAATTAATAAAGGTCCATCCAATAATTAATAAAAAAATAATTAATAAAAAAATTTTTAAAAAAGAAGAATACACAAATAGGAAAGGCTAATGTGTGTGGAACGGAGGCTTGCCTGTACCAGATCCTAGTCTAGGTGGTTGGTATGCATTACCTTATTTTACAAATGAAGAAATGGATTCAGAGAGATTACGAAAGTTTTCCATGGTGCTGGGGATGTAGCTCAGAGGCACAGGGCTTGCCTAACATGTATGAAATCCTGGGTTCTATCCCCAGTGCCGTAAAATTTTTTAAAAAGAAGAAAAAACTTTCCTACGATCACACAGCTAATAGCTTCTGCCCACAGCTTGAAACCTTGGTTGTTTTAAAGCCTACATTCTCATCTACTGTTCTAAAGGATGGTGTCTCTCAAATGTCCCGAATGATAAATGTGGTCTGAGACACTTATTAAAAAAATAAATTCCCAGAATCATTGACTTGCGACCCTTTGAAGTGTGACTCAATCTCTATATTTTATCCTTCACTCCAGGTTCTTATCTTCAGGAGAACTTGGAAAACACTTCTAAACACTTCTATGTCAGGATCATGGTACGTGGTTTTATTACGGACAATTACTCATTTTCTTCCCTGTAAGAGGATCATCCAGCCCTGCCCTTGCCCTGCCTCTTGGTGAGCAGGAGGATTGTTATCTGCAGTGTGTGTGGAGAAGTGAGTGACAGGACCTCCACATGTCAAGCAAAGTTTCTCTCTGCCATGAGAATGACACATCCCAGAGAGAGACTGTGATGGGCTCAGCCTAGGTTCAAAAACCAGAAGACACGAGGGGCAGAGCCTACCTTGTGATAAATAAAGTTTTGTTGTTGTAAGCCATTGAGAAATGGGGGGTTGTTTGTTACACAGCCCAACTGACTAATACAATAGTACTTATAATATTATATAAGAATAGTGACATCCCAAGTACTTTTCATGTGTAAAGCACTCTCTGATTTTAGCAAAAATAACCTTTAATCTAGGGACTATAATCTCTATTTTAGAGATGGGGAAACTGAAGCTCAGAGTGATAAAGTGATTTATCCAAAGTTAACCCTGCCAGGAGTGGCAGAGCCACTGTCTGATTCCAAAGTTCTTCACCTCACAATGGAGCCTTTTGTCCCCTCCCCTGCCTGGTCTTTCTCACCTCTCCCCTCCATTTTCTGCTAGGATAAGTCTCAAGTACAACCTGTTGGCAGAAACAGACGTGCAATATTTAACTCACTTTAATTAAAATATATTTTAGTGGATTTTTTTTCCTGCGACATAACTCATCTTGATGGGAACCCATTGGATTTTAATGGGAAACCTATTAGAGGAACATATTGTGATCTTTAATGAAGCCGGGCTGCTTGGAGAACCACCTACAGGTAATTAGAAGCCCTCCAGGCCCTTGGGGAATAGGGTGAAATGAACTTCGGTTTGTTTAAGACAATTAGTGCAGACAATGATCTGGGAACGAATTAAATGGTCCTTGATTAGGAGCAGCTGTGCAGGTGGCGTTCTCAGGAAAACGGGACACACAAGTGGGGTTTTTAAGAAAGAGCGATTATTAGTGCTTATCTGTTTATATTGGCAGCAGGCACTTCCTCCTGGCTGGCGGTTTGATCAGGTGGCCCCTCCCCGCCCCACCTCTCCCTGCTCTCCTCCCTCATTGATAACCGCTCCTTCTAGGCTGGCCAGGTGCCTCCTGGGCTCTGGCAGCAGATGGGCGCATTGGTACTGGCAGAGCAGGAACATCTCCACCCACTGGTAGATGCTCCCATCTCGATAGGCACTTCTCTCCCGGGACTGGGAACCTCTGCTTCCTCCAGGGTACTGGTTAGAAGGGGCACTTCTGTCACTACACACAGGCAGGTTTTCACAGTCGATGCTGTGGGAGCCTCTGTCATTCTAGGATGGGCTCATCGTCCTGATATACGGGGCACATCCACACCAGGAGGAATTATCAATAGTCCATGGGCCATGCCGGAGGCTTCTATACTGGAGAGATGAACATTTCTCCTTTGACCTGAGCCTTTAGGACTGGAAGGAAGGGCATCTAGAATGAGCCCTAATGGTAGTTGGCGAGAGGGTGACAGGAATAGAGCTCTCGCAGGTGCAGAGGCTTCTACTGATCAGAAGGCAAGCACCGCGGAGGCCGAGCTGGGAATGGCCGCAGGACACCTGTCAGCAGGTGTCAGGGAGGGAGCTCTGCACAGAGATGGGCACTTCTGCAATCCCATGAATAGGGACCTCTACGTTTTCTGGAATATGCGCTTCAGTAGGTGATCATGCAGGGGTTAAGCTCTACAGAGGCACCAAGCTTTTCCCCATCCTCTGGCCTCTGACACATCCTGTTTCTTCACCAGTAAAGCCAGAGTGCCTCTACTGACGTCTCCTCAGTTCCAGATCCCTCCCAGAGCCCATGGTGTGGGTGACCCTGCCCGGAGATAGAAGAGACTGCCATCCTGTGAGTGACATGGGGCTGGGAGAGACAGGGGATGACCAGGGGAAGCAGGGCCACTGGTGACCTACCTGCCCAGGAATGGACGAGGCAGGGAAGGACCCTAGCTCAGCCCAGAGTCCAGAGGGGATTCCAAGCAAATGTTCTTGGTACCCAGAACCAGGGCAGCCAGGTGGCAGCCTGGATCCCCCAGCACCCCCCAAACCCAGTGTCTCTTCCCTAATCCCCTCTCAGCTCCAGCTCCTGGCAGGGGCTGCTGCGAGATTCCCCATGCAACCCTGACTCGGGGCTGTAGCTAAAACATTGGTCTGGCAGTTTTCCCTCTTTAAGTTGAAGTGTGATGTTGGCAGGCAGCGAGCCGTGGTGGCAGGCTGCCAGAGGGAGCATGTGTTGGAAATCCTTGCTCCACGTTGCAGCAATCTGGGGCTCCCCCACCCACAAACTGCTCCAGAGCCAGCCAGCCATGGGGGCCAGAGCCTGGCACTGATGGGGAGCAGCCACCAAGATTAGGGGGATGATGAGGCAGAGGGGCTTGAGCCCAAGGATGGAGAGACACATGAATAGAACCAGAATGGGGGAGGGGACATGGGAGACAGAGAAACAGACCCACAGGCAGGGACACAGACAGAGAGACAGACAGAGTCAGAGAGAAACAGAGACATGGAGAACCAAGGCCAGAGAGGTCCAAGGAAGACAGAGGGTGACAAAATTTAAAGAAGATAAGCACAGCTTGGCATGGTGGAGGGCACCTGTAGTCCCAACTACTCAGGAGGCTGAGGCAGGAAGATTGCTTGGTCCTAGGACCAAGGCTAGTCTGAGCAACATAGTGAGACCCCATCTCAGGGAGTGGGAGGAAGATAAATCCAATCCAGTCTCTAAATTCTGGATATAACAGGAAAAAAAAAAACATGTGCAGTCATATAAATGTATGCTATTGATAACAGTTGTAGAAAACAAGAGAGCCTTCAGTGGACCAAGAACTTTGTGGAATCCCTCAAAAACTGAAAAGCAGACAGACTGGACTCGACAGAGGAGTCCACACCTAATTAACAGGGGTGAAGACTCCTGTGCACAATAAGGCTGGTCCCAGGAGTGCCCCAAGCTGGGAGTGGACAGGACCAAGGGACACCTGACCATCAGGAGCCTGGAACCATCATGAGAGGTAGCAGGAGAGAAGTCACATTTATACCATGAGACCGTTGGTCCTCCCTGCTTCAATCTCCCCGCCATATGCAGCACTCATGCCAAGCAGCCCTAGAGCCAGAGTAGCGAGTAGGAGTATTTGAGTCTGAGAGGCCGGGATGTGCCCTGGGCTACCTAGTGGGCACTAGGAATAGGAAGACCACCTTCCACACACAGCACCGTGGTACTTCACAGCGATTATCAGAAACAAGCCCTTGTGCTCCAGAGCATCCTTTAGAGACAGGCAGATAGGGATTCTCAAAGCAAAGCAGAAAACCAAGAATACCAAAGTAACACGGAAAAACCAGCACTGTGAAATAAAGGCATCAGACTAACAGACCTGGGGCTCGGGGGGGTGGACTCCAGAGAGCAAGCACAAACACAAGACTTTAAAGTAGTGTGATTGCCATCCTTGGGGACACTGGAGAAGATTTCATGCCCACAAATTGAGAATGAGCTGTTACTAAAATGAATCACTGAGAAATCTTGGAAATTTCAAATAATTGTTCAAAATTGAAGCTCGGTGGGTCAGCTGAAGAGTAGAATGAATATAGCTAAGGAGAAAATTGGGAGAAAAATCTAAAGATATGCAGCTTGTGTGCCTCTTCTAGGTGTGGTTAGTGAGACTCTCATGCTTGTGTAAGGAAATGTGTTTGAGAACTCACTGTGGAACTGTTAGTAATAGCAAAAATTTGGGAACAACTTACAATCCAACAGAGAATGGATAAATAAATCATTGAGCAAAAGATTTGAAAGGAAATTTTACAAAAGAAGATATTTGAATGTCAATATGCACATGCAGAGCTGCTCAGCTCTGCTAGTCATAATATAAGTAAAACTAAAATAATTATAAAATACCACTGCACACTAAAGTTAAAAAGACTAGTGATCCAGTGTTGGCAAGGGTACGGAGCAACTGGAATGCTCAACTTGCTGGTGGGAACGTGAAATGCACAGACACTTTAGAAAACAGTATAAAACCATCTCATAAAGGGAAACATACTCTTGCCCTATAACACAGGCATTCTACTTCCAGGTATTTATGGAAGAGAAATTAAAACATGCCAACACAGAGATTGGTACACAAATGTTCATAGCTGTGTTATTTAGGCCCCAAACAGGAAGCGACCCAAAAGCTCATCAAATGGCAAATGGAAACTGCATTATCGCACATTCATACTCAGGACCTACTACTCAGCAATAAACAGCAATGAAAAATATGGATGCATCTGAAAAATATTACGCTAGGTGAAAGAAATCAGGCATAAAGCACTATGTACCGCATGACTCCATTGATAGAAAATTCTAGAAAAGGCAAAAATTACAGTGACAGAAAGCAGTTACTGTTCAGGGCCAGGGAAGGAAGAGGGGATTCACTGCAAAGGGAATAAGAAAACTCCTTTGGGTGACAGAATTGTTACATATTTTTAAAAATATTTTTTAGTTGTAGATGGACACAATATCTTTATTTTGTTTATTATTTATTTTTATGTGGTGCTGAGGATCGAACCCAGGGCCTCCCATATGCGAAGCAAGCGCTCTACCGCTGAGCCACAACCCCAGCCCCTGTTACCTATTTTGATCGTGATTGTGATTACACAATTCATACAATTACCAAAGTTTTTCATGTGGTATATAAAAGATAAGTGAATTCCATTGTATAAAAATTATATCTTAGGGCTGGGATTGTGGCTCAATGGCAGAGCGCTTGCCTAGCATGTGTGAGGCACTAGGTTTGATTCTCAGCACCACAAATCAATAAATAAAATGAAGGTCTATTGACAACTAAAAAATATACAACTAAAAAATTGTATCTTAATAAAAAGGTAATTTAAAAACCATGTCCCAAATTCAAAATAGCTATTCTCCCTGAAGAGGGAGGGAGAGGTAGGCTGAGGAGATGGGAAAATGCAGACCTTCAGTTGCAGTAGAAGTATTTTGTCTCTTAAAAACAAATATAGGGAATGAAATAACAGGGACATTCTTTACAGAACTATGAAAAAACAGTCCTAAAATTCATTTGGAAGAATAAAAGACCCGAATAACCAAAGCAATTCTAAGCCAAAAAAGCAATGCAGCAGGCATCACAATACCCAACTTCAAATTACTTTACAGAGCTATAGTAACAAAAATTGCATGGTACTAGCATAAAAACTGACACATAGACCAATGGTACAGAATAAAAGACACAGGGACAAACCCACATATCTATAGTTGTCTGATCCTTGACAAAGGGACCAAAAATATATTGAAGAAAAGACAGCCTTTTTAACAAATGATGCTGAGAAAGCTGGTTATCCATATATAGAATGAAACTAGACTCTTATCTCTCACCCTGAACAAAAAACAATTCAAATTTGTTCAAACATCTAGAATTAGATCAGAAACTCTACAACTAACTCCTAGAAGAATATGCAGTGTCAACATATAGGTTCAGGCAAAAAGTTTCTCAATAGGACAACTAAATCTCAGGAAATAATTCCAAGAGTTAATAAATGACATCAAACAAAAGCTTCTGCACAGCAAAAGAAACAATTAAGAACATGAACAATTAAGAATGTGAAGAGAGAACCTACAGAATGGGAGGAAACCTTTGCTAACTACTCTTCCAACAAAGGATTAATATCCAGAACATATAAAGAACTCAAAAGGCTTAACACCAAAAACCTTCCTAAATAACCCAATTATTAAATGAGCAAATGAACTAAACAGGCACTTCTCAAAAGAAGAAATACAAAAGGTCAACAAATATATGAAAAAATGTTCAACATCTTTAGCAATCAGGGAAATCCAAATCAAAGCTGCACTGAGATTTCATCTCACTCCAGTTAGAAGGTCAGTCATTGTGAATACAAGCAACAATAAATGCTGGAGAGAATGTGGATAAAAAGGAACAGTTTTACATTGTTGGTGGGACTGTAAATCAGTACAACCACTTTGGAAATCAGTGTGGAGGCTCCTCAAAAGGCTGGAAATGGACCCACCATATGACCCAGCTATACCACCCTTCTGTATTATCCTGAGGAATTAAAGCCAGCATACTATAGTGATACGGGCTTCTCCATCTTTATAACAGCACAATTACCAATAGCCAGACTATGAAACCAGCCTAAGTGTCTATCAACAGATAAATGGATAAAGAAAATGTGGTATATATATATATATAGACAATGGAGTTTTATTCATCCATAAAGAAGAATGAAATATGTCATTTGCATATTGTTAAGTGAAGTAAGTCAAATTTTGAAAGTCAAAGATTGTATGTTTACTCTCACATATGAGAACTAGAGAGGAGTAAGAAAAAGATAGGTGGACCAGGAGGAGGGAGAAGGGGATGGAAAGGGGAAATACTGGGGAGTGATATCGGCCAAATTATATTGTTGTATTGACATGTACAAATAAGTAACAACAAATCCCACCATTGCGTATGATCATAATGCACCAATAGAATATGGAAGAATAGAAAAAAGAAAGAAATAAGGAAGGAAGGGGAAAGAAAGAAAGAAATAAAGGAAGGGAGGGAGAGAGGAAAAATAAATATGGAGAAATGTTAAGATCTGACAAAATCTAGTGTTGTGTGTCAGTGCATCTGTTATTATTTATATTTTTGTATTATTGAATATTTCAAACTGTTTTTGAGAAAATGAATTAATGAGTTAAAAAATAAGCTGTGGGATATTCTCAGACTATTGTGCAAAATGACTGAGAGAAAAATAATTTTTAAAAAGTTAAAAGACAAAGACTAGGTACAGAAGTTTCAACGTTTATCTAGTGCTTAATAGAAGCTCCCTGAGAAGAAAATGGAGAAAAGAGAACAATCAGTC